GGGGGGGGGGGGTGGAAAAATATATAACCAAAGAAATATTATGCATTACACGTGTGCGCGTGTGTTGCGCGGAGACAGTGAGAGAGTCGCGTAGTCCGCGTCGCCGTAGTTGTCGTCGCAGTTGCAGCGATACGGCGACGGCCACGGTGTTCGCAGGGCGGAGCTCGGGAACGCCGGCCTGGCGGGACGGGGGTCTGACCGCTGGGCGGAGTCGCGGTGGCCGCGGCCGACCAATGGTGTGTTGCCGACGCGGTGGGGGTAATTCGGAGAGCGCGCGTTCGCACTGGCCGCGGCGGCCGAGGCATCAGCGCCAGCGCCGGCACCAGCAGCAGCAACAGCAGCAGCAGCAGCAGCAGCAGCAGCAGCAGCAGCAGTCGGCCGCGCCCGCAACAGTCGCGTTTCAACCGTATCGCCGCCCGGTCGCCTACCGTCGCCCGGCACACGCGCAAACAGTTCATAATATAATATTATCAATAATAGTATATTATTGTGATAGGTGTCGAACACGTCGCCGTCGTCGTATTATTATTATTATTGTAATTATTAAATTAACGTTTGGCGAGGATACGTCTGCGTGCGAGATCCGGTGCCGAAAGGTTGTAAGCGATCAAACCGTACCGCTGGGGGAATCGCCCGCGCCGGGGGTTTTCGTTCTTCGTTTTCCTACGCGCATGTCGACCCGGAAGGGCCGTACTACCGTCGTTTACCGGGAACAACCGTTCGTCGACAACAATAAATCCAACTACATCGGTAACACAACGTATCCGTGCGCTGTCGCGTGTGCCGCGAACAACCGCCGTTGTGATAATCGTCGTAACGTCGCTGTGCTGTGAAAACCCGCGAGCGCACCATTCTACGCACCGCAGGTGACGGGCGCCCACCCGCACCTTATACCGACGAGATGATCATGGAGTCTTCGAACGCGGCCGCGGAATCCGCAGGCTCCGGCAGCGACCGCAGCAGCAACGTGTCGACCAGCCCGCCGCCACCGCCGTCATCGTCCGTGTCGCAGCAGCAACAGCAGCTACAGCAAATGCAGATGCAACCGGCCACCGGGCCGTCGTCCGTGGGTGGCGGCAGCAGCGTGTCCGGCACTAAGGACGGCAGTCCCAGAGACGAACGGGGCAACAGCCCGATGATGAACGTCATCAACCCGTCGCAGCATCACGCCATCATCACGCCGACGCGCGGCATGAGCCCGCCGTCGTCGCAGACGGCCGCGCAACCGGTGCCGCCGCCGGTGTCTTCGATGAGCACGCTCGCGTCCCGCATACCCATGGGATTGTTCAACTCGTTGGTGCACCACTCGTCGCCGTTGGACCTGATGGCCATGGCCCACCACCACCAGCAGCAGCAACAGCAGCAACAACAGCAGCAACACCCGTCGTTGCAGCAACAGCAGCAGCAGCAGCAGCACCCACCGCGGTCGTATAACAGCCCGCCGCCCATCAGCAGCACCGATCCGGCCGCCAACGAGTGCAAGCTGGTTGAGTACCGCGGCCAGAAAGTGGCCGCCTTCATGATCGCCGGTGACACCATGCTGTGCCTGCCTCAGGCGTTCGAGTTGTTCCTCAAGCACTTGGTCGGCGGGCTGCACACCGTGTACACCAAGCTCAAGCGGCTGGACATCGTGCCGCTCGTGTGCAACGTCGAACAGGTACGCATACTCCGCGGAATGGGAGCCATACAGCCGGGCGTGAACAGGTGCAAGCTTCTGTCGTGCAAGGACTTCGACACGTTGTACAGGGACTGCACTACGGCCAGGTAGGATGTTTCACCGTGCAATCGGTTACTAAGTAATACAGTTGTTAACGTGACGTGTGCGATTCGTTGTACTTGTTGTATTCTTGGCGATGACGATACGAGTGACATTTTTAACACATTACCCGACTCACGTACGGTACAGAGATGTAAACAGCCCGAGGTTTTACGTACCGTGTTCCGCGAAAAGGACTTTAACGCGTCCCCGTTTCTTGTGTCCGGTGGGCGGACTACTAATACTTGACCCCATGCTTTCGGTTAATCGTGTACACGTAATGGGCACCTTTAATTCCTCGCGCAGGACACTACCCTATAATTTCCCTCTGTATTCGAATTTAAAAGGCGCGACTCGAACGCGTCGTGTTTCCTGTGCACGACGCATAATAGTATTGTATTAAAATGTACGTGTAATACGATTATACTTAATGTGTGTGTATATATATATATAGACAATGGCAGGTATAAATCGTCATCACGCGTTTGTGGTATTTTATGTACACTTGTGAAACGCCTTCGAAAATTACAACCGAACACCCGGCTGCGATTATGTATATGTATATACACTTATAGGTTTACAAACGTACGCTGTTATCTGTTATATACTTATATATAATTGACGGTTTCAAGACTTCAAAAGAATTATGTGCACATTTGTATGTAGGCATCTATATCCAAGTGTAATATGACAAAAGGAAAAGATACGAAATAATCGTAAAAGCTCATCGCGCTTACAATTACCCGTGTATACAAACACGCCACCGATTTCCCCCCTTTAATGTACTGCTGTAGAAGAGCCGCAGCTTTTGAGGGTTGGAAAACACGTGTTGCATTTACAGACACGGACCTCGACGACAATCACATTTATAAAACCGGCGACAGACGATTTTATTGTATATTTGTACCCTAACGGAAACGTCGGTCGTTCGTAAATCGTTTAAATAACAGTCTTATTCAAATCGCGAATATTATTATACACTGCAGCAAACGTTCGCTATTATTTATTTATAAACATTTATCAATGCATTATTAAATTATAAAAATCGATCGTGTTTTTTTTAACGTTTTTCTTGAGCGTACAGTAATCATCTTCTCTCGCAACGCGTATTGACGTTCATATAAAAATAATAAAATAATTATTACATCGCATCAACGATCGCACGATTTCATTACCCGAAAGTTATCATTTACCTCGTTCTTTTGGGTGAATGTATATTCGTACGGCTTTTAACGCAACCAGTCGTGTGTTTAATAAGCGTAGCATTGTAAATTGTTGCACCCGCCACAAACATGGTCGACGCGTATATATTATATTTTTATTCGTAGTTGTTGTAGTAGGTATGTATAATTCACTCGTACGTCGGCCGACAAAAAAATAGATGTAGGTTGGTATTAAGCTACACACACGCATGATACAGTATAATATATAGAATATATGTACACAGGAGGGTTCGGCGAGCTTAAGCGCGTAGTCGGTCAAAGGTAAAAAATTGTCGATTGGCGTATATATGGTATATATATATATAAATATAGAATTGGTGTGCACACTACGATATGGGGTTGATGTCGGGACAAAGGGGAAAAATAGCAGTCGAAAGGGTTATTTTCAGAACAGAAATACATATTGTTACATAGGAATATACAACACAACTACACTCTATGTAATAATATAATATACATAAATATATTACGGGGAGGAAATGTATATGTGTATATGCGCGGGTATATATGAATAACAATAAAATTGCGCTATATCACGCGATTGACGAGCGCATGCTATAGATCAATTAAGCAAAACTCGGGGCAAAAATAAATTCGAGGGACTTGTACATTTCGCCCACCCATTCGCTCGTGAAATAGGTAGTTCTTATTACACACTTCTTATGTTGGGTACAACTTACATACGTACACATATAAAATGTCCGGATTATTATTATTTTATGTATGTCGTAGCAATAACAACTAAAAAAATTACGCTGATGACGCCTACTTCATATTATAGGTTATACAGTTTTGTTTTTTTCTTATTACACATAATTTTCCACGAGCTTTTGATATACCAACAAACTGTTGTTTCCTTCGTGGAGCATATGACCACGACTATTTTTTCGCTGATTTTCTGTGCATAATATGTTTTCCTGTACAATACGGTTATAATACTGTATTAAGTACTTATACCCCGCATGCATAGGTAATCGTGGTTCGTGTGCTAATTTTTGAAACATTATTAATAGTATGATATATTATCTTAACCTAACCTAATCAATGCCGCAGTTTTTAAAACGTTATCTACTATTACGTACACATACATACATTAAACTGAATTACTATGTAGTAATCATATTTTTTACTGAAACGTAATACTGTATTTGTATAAGCTATAGTTATTATATTATACATCAATATGTTTAGTATATTAATGATTATTGTTGGTGAAGTACGCTTGATGTAATATATATGTATAAATTGTAAAATAATGATGTTCGAAAGTCAATCTGACAATTTAATAAATGTATTTTTTTTAAACTTTTATCCTTCGACCATTATGCCGCTTTTGAATTTGAAATCAATTGACGAGTTCAAAATCTATCGCACTATTGAAATGTAACGATGGATTCTTGCGCACGCGAAATGTAGGAGTAGGAGTATTACATGTAATATTTTTTAATAAAATAAAATAGAAAACTATGCAAAAGATATTCTTATACGCCGTGATTATTAAAAAAATAATAGTTCAAATACATGGTGCGTTGGACTGCCGTAGTATTTTAATTAATTAACTAAATTACATGTATTTTAATGCGGTCAATATTACCGATTTTTGTTTTTCGTGATTTGGTAAACTTTTAAACTCGTTTAAAGATAAATTCTATGTAACAATGGCCATCATAGATATATACTATTATTATTGTTATTACGTTCAATGGAATTATTTCTGCGATGGTTTTACGATTTAACGTTTTCAAGGTAAAAAAAAAAAGTAATAATATTTAGGTATACACACAGTTCGCTTATTAATTCATTAGGATAACGTAGATTATAACATAATAATAACGTTTATTTTAATATTACATATGTATATAATACACATTACACATCATATAGTTAATTATCGTTCGCGTTACCACGACGGTATTGAAAAATGTCTGAAGACGAGTGCCCGTTTGACAGATAATAATTATTTACACGCCGTTTTGGTCTTGACGAACGCGTTAAACGTTCCGCGTGCACACGCGCGCGCCGCGCACGTCACATCATCGCGGCGCTCCACTAAACGGCCGACGACTGCCAACCGCTTTTCGTCGCCGGACGCGCGTACGCCTCTCAGCGCGCTGGCGTTTCCGCGTCCGTGTTCCGACGGCAACTACACGCGCGTTTTTTCTCTCTCTCCCACCGCCCGTTCGGTGTCGGCCTAAAATCGATTTTCCGACTAATCTGTGCCGCACTAATTATTATTGTGATAATCGTTCCTTGCCCCGTCTCGGTGTGCGCAGCGTTGTCCTGTGCGAGTACGGCAGGCCCACGCAGCGCGTCCGACCGTGATTCATCGGTTCCGTCGCGTAATCGCCACTCATACCGACCGGGCGCGCGCAACAAAAACGCGGTCTCGGGACGTACAACGAACGTGGTACGTGTATTATAGGTATCGGTATAAACGTATAAGGTTAGATAGGCGTTTCGACGGGAGAAATCCGATCCGTTTTCTTTAAACCACTTGTTAAACGACGACGACGACGGCCACGGTGTGAGGTTCTAATGTTATTATTGTCGTTCGTCAGGGTTGGTAAATGGCCATATTTTATATATTTCGATACTCGCGTACGCCCTCTATACTCGAACGCGTGCTCTCATTCCGAAATGTAAATCGAAAATCCAATAACTTGCGATATTATTACGATTTCTATTACGTTTTCAACGATCGACTTACGTACAGCGTCCAACGTTATAATGTATTATACTCGAGTGCGTTTTTTACAATTCATTATTATTACACTTTTATATGGTTCAAAAAAACAACCATTGAAATTCATGTTTTATTGTTTCCCTGCAAGACTATAGTTTATATTAATAAGTGGGTAATTATGTGCAATGTAATAATCTATCGTTTTGTTGTTAATAGACGATATGCGCTTCTACTACTACTACTACTACTACTAACTAACTTTGCTTCGTTAGTAATATTTTAGTCTTAGGTATTTCTATCCAACGAGATAACTTATAAAATTATTGAACGAATAATCAACATAAACGGGAAACATTTAGTGTGAATTATATTTCTTGTAATTTTAATAGAAATACGTTGTTTGTATACGATACCAATAACAACCAATAACAATATATAAAAAATAGTGAATACGCTTTTAATAAGATTTTAATATTTTCTAAATAAATTCTAAGAATTTTATAAAGCTTATTCAATTGTAGTCTGGTTAATAATAATAATAATAATAATAATAATAATAGTATGATAATTTTGGTAAAATATAATAACGAACAATGCATGTCATGTACTGAGTACACACACACCCACATACATATGCATATACATACAAGTATAACTGTTATCAATTTAACTGACATTTTTGCTACGGTTCCATGAATAGTTTTATTTATTAATTAAAAAAAAATAATAATAATAATAATTATAAAAACAACTGAGAACAAAAAAAAAAAAACTTTAAAATGAAACACTTATTATAATACAATATTTAAGAAACAACAATATTTTAATCTTTTACCCACACACAATAATTGTGTTCAAGTATATTAAACATTAGTAGTATTGCCTACCTAATTAGCATACATGAAATCACGGATAAGTGAATATGAGATAATGGAAAAGTATACATTTCGATAGTGCGATTTTTACGCAATATTGTTGAAAACCACGAAATGTGTTCGCGTGTACGAGAGAATGTAGCCGAGTGGCAGCGGCGAGCACGTGCAGTGCACAGTACACGTTGTGAATGAACGGGGCGCGAGAACGGGAAAACGCGCGGAGGAAA